AGGCACAAAGCTAGCTGGGTGATCTTGGGCCAGTCACTCTCTCTCAGCCCTAGGAAGGAAGCAATGGCAAACCACTTCTGAAAAATCTTGCCAAGAAAACTGCAGGGACTTGTCCAGGCAGTCTCTGAGAATCAGACCCGATTGAATGAATTAAAAAAAATATATCAATTTTATAACACCAATCTTCTCCCTAGTCCAACTCATTGGAATAGATGCCAGGAAAAATATTTATTTTTTTACAGAGAAGGCAACTATCTCATACAGACAGCCAAGCTAAACTTCATGTATGTGTCAAGTTATTTCCTACTGTCTGGGATGCTCTTGGGGTTGCAAAGCAAGAGTTCCATGGACTGAGCTCTCAGTCAGTGGTCCAGCTATGTTCTCCTGGACTATAACCACCACCACCACCACCACCATCATCCCACTTTTTTTCTGGAGCCACAAGCAACAAGAACAGGGAAGTCAGCATGATTTCTTCACACTTGCTCTAAAGTGTTATTTCAGCAAAAAATCTTGGACATTTCTGCACTACTTTATAGCAATTTCCAAATGTTTTGCCATCTCTGCACTAGTAAAGACATATTTGCATCAGTGTGGTTATAACTCCTTTGTCACATCCCTCTAGTTTTGTTGGCAGCAATACAGAAGTGGGTTGCCACTGCCTTCTTCCAGGATGTCCTTTCCTAGTTTGGCTGCAGTCTAGGAATTTCCTGGCCTTCCATCCAAGTACTGTCAGGTGCAGACTTGCTTAGCTTTTGCAGGGTTCAGCCAAGGTCAGCAGCTGCCACCCGCTGTAGACATCTCTATACTATTTTATCATAATTTCTCAATGATAATATATAGAAATATTTCACAAGTATTCCTTTCTTAATGGCTTAGAAAGTTCCTGCAAAAGTAATGTTATTCTAGTTCAAATAAGTCCCTTTATTTTCTTTATATTTTAAAATGTTATCTTTGCTGTAGATTTTGTTCACGGTCACACTCCTGTATTTTCAGGGGAATGTTAGAATCCAAGACCAGAGTGAGAAGTCAAACAAATTTTTGTGAATATCCTGTTGGGTTACCTATAAGCTCTCCTTGATGGGTGAAGACAAGGAAGTACTTAATATGTTGTCCAGCTGATACAGCTTCAACTACCCATGTGGAGACATGGTAGAATGAGAATGGACAAATTGCTGAATTCTTCAAGAAATGACACTTTCAATAGTTCACTGTGAGGTTCTTGTGTTAATAGATAAACTTTTATCCACAGGAGACACCATATCCATTTCAAAAATCTTGAGAAGGGTTTTTTTGCCCCATCTCTTTGTAGTTAAGAGGTATTTATCACCTATGATATAAACTTTTATCCTAGTTTTATAACTCATGAAAGACCAGACTGAGCAGACCTCAAAGTGAAAAATATTTCATTCATATACTACTGCACAAACGTAACTGAGAAACTACTACTGTTAATACTAAAAGCATCCACATGTGTAAGAAATGTGTCAGATAATATCAGTTCTAGAACTTTTTTTAACCAAATAACTGTATGCTTTATTGTACTATATAAAATCATAATATTATGGAAGAATATATAAATAGCCATACAGATCTTTTAAGTCGCTTTCCCTGGGGATAACTTGTTGGTTTGTATTAAAAGCCATCTTGGTGCAGTGGTTAAGGCAACAAGCTAGAAACTGGAAGACTGTGAGTTCTACTCCTGCTTTAGACATGAAATCAGCTGGGTGACCTTGGGCCAGACCCTCTCTCCCAGTCCTAGGAAGCAAGCAAGGGCAAACCACATCTGAAATATTGCCAAAAAACTGCAGGGACTTGTCCAGGCAGTCACCAGGAGTCAAAACTGACTCAAAGGCACACAAACACTTGATTAAGCACAGTAAATAAAATACAGGGTGGTTTGCAGTTAGGAGAGCTTTAAATTGAATCCTGGGTGGCAGAGGGGTGTGTGCTGAAAACATACCCTGAATAACGGTCCTAGAAACATGTACACTGTAGAAAGTATGAATGTTGTTGGAATGGGGCCTCTTAAACCCCCCCCCAAAAATAATAAGACTGGATTTTAAAGTTCATGGCCTTCATTGTTTACATATTAATGCTCAGAATATGAGAAATAAGATAAGCTTGAACTCTTAGTACTGAAGAGCAAATATGACTTAATAAGTAACACAGAACAAGTGGGATGACTCCCATGATTAAAATATAACTCCTGAAGCATACAATTTGTTCAAAAGGAACAGAAGCAATAGAAAGGGAGGAAGTTTTTCCCTTTTATTTTTGTGAATGTGAATTGTTATAGGTTTTAATTGTATATTTATTTAT